GAATTCTCTCACCCTCCCGTGCTTCTGACTGTACCCAGTGCTTGTATAAATAATAAATAAATCTTAAAAAAATGTATAAAAATTACATTCTGTAAGCAGACTTAATGGCTTAGGGACTTCAGAGGCCAGAGTGAGCAGGTTGTAAACTGACATTCCAAAATATCACACCCCAGGCAGGGTGATGCCAATTGAATACTTGGATGCTTAGTAAAGCATTATGGCAGTGTTAATGGTGCAATGAAGTTGCTTTGCAGAAAATTAAGAAAAATGGAATACCAATACTTCCTTAACTTTTCATTACAAATGTAATTAGAATCACTTGCAGTTTTGTTGTTATGGGGAAAAGAGGGATACCTAGCAATCCTGATCCTGATGATCTTTCCTCTTTTTTTTTTTTTTTTTTTTTTTTATGAAGAGCTCTGCTTAATTCTTTCCTCGGCTTCTGATTGAGCCCTTTCCCTTTCATTTGCTACCTGCCTCCCAAATTCAAAATAGGTGGTGAAGAAGACAGGTAGGTTATTTTCCAGCAGGAGCCAGTCAGTTGCTCTTTACCCGTTGATGGTAAAGAACAGAGATCATTTCTTCTTCTCTTTTATGTACATGTGATGTTGGAGCAGGTTTACTGTCACCATATAAACATGATTCATACAATCATTTATTTATATTAAATTGTCTCAAGGATTTAGCTGCAGGTCCTCATTTGCCTTCAATTCTTTCTCATTGAAATACTATCAGAACCTAAAAATCTGAGGCAAGTACATAGCCATGAAGAAAGCAAATTCCTTCTTAATAGTGTATATAACAAACATGGACAAGGAAATGTGTGAAATAATAGCTGGCTATACCAAGGCACAGAATAGTAAAAAATGTGAGTTAAAATCAGACTTGGCATTTAAACTCCATTATTATTAACACTGAGTAAATCTTGTCCTCCCTTTCTTGTCATTTCCCAGAACCAAGCCTAGAATCACGCATGCTTAAACATTCAAGTCCTGAGAAAAATATTATAAATCATAGATGGGTTCCTTTTAATATTGTCCCACCAAACAGTCCTGTATAATCCAAATACACACAGTATTTTGGGCTTGTAATTAAGTGTTTTCATCACTATCACAAAAGTAATGGATACCAAAGGCCAAACATATAACATGGAATTAAATTAGTCAAACTAAGGGAAAGAAATTAACCCTATTCCCCAATATAGCATAATAATAAGCATCAAAATTTCATTGTGTATTCTAAGGATTAAAACAAAGCAATGCAAAATTTTATTATTTGAATTATTATTTGAAGATGGAATATACCACTAATTTCCTAGTACTACCTTATTATTTGAATTATTATTTGAATATGGAATATACCACTAATTTTCTAGTACAATTTTATGCAAAAAGAGTTTAAATCTAGCAAGGAGGTAAGATGTATGAATACTCAAATTAAACAATAGGAGATTAAATAATAGTAGCAAGCAACAATACAGCACATTAAATAAGGTATTGGTTCATTAACAAATGAATGGTGCAACTTGTTTTATGAGTTTATAAGAAGGAATGATCACTGATGGTCTTGAAAAGCACAGGCAGATTTTTTTGACTTTAAAAGATACATGAATTGCAGTGATTATATAGTAATATTACTACTCTTAATTCCTAAGTGTACTCTTCAGAGGTATCTTACTTTGATCTCTTATGCATTTTCCAGGATAAATGATTTTATTCTTCTTAGTCTAAGAAAAAAATTAAAATATGTCATAAAATATGAGAGCAAAGTTAAAAGGCAGCTTTGAACTACAACCTCTTCAAGATTTGAGATAAATGAATACTACAAAATATAACAATATATCTTTGATGAATTGGAATATATAGAAAGAAGTCATTCCAAAATATTGGAATTTGAAAGCAGAATCATTTTGAAATCAAAATATACCATCAACCATTTTTATAAACACTTGTGTTTAGCAATGTGTTTCACAAATGAAAACAATGCTAACATATTTCATTTTATATAATGTATATTCTCCCATTTCCTTAAGCATTTGCCAAATATTTATTAGCTACTTCCTTTAAGTAAAAAACTTGGGCTAAAGAAGTAGTAAATGTTTGAAAAATATTTTGATATTTGGATTTGAGTGATGATAGTAGCATATTTAGAACTAAGGTTAGCAATGTGATATAACAGTTACATATACAAAATTTAGAGGAATCGTTCCTGACCTTGGAATTGAGCAAATATATAGAGAATGTTATTCTAGGTCTTGAAGAATGTTAGAAGTTTGATAGTGAAGAAAAAACAAAAAAGATTAAAATTCTTAAAGTTATGGAAGAAGTGAACAGCTTGAGTAAAATGCTCAAAAATTTGGAGCGGCAAAAACAAAGAAGAAATTTGTCAAAGATGCTTGAGTGTTATGATAAGGATTTTGGAATTATAGCCCTTTGACCAATCACCTAAGATCATAAAATTATTTTAAGCATTGATTTTTTTAAAGATTTATTTATGCATACAAGAGGTGTACAGGTGTACAGGCCAGAGGTGTGGGAGGGTGAGAGGATTCACCAGAGACAGAGTGGGAAACAGAACAGGCGGATCGACTGAAATACACTGCTGAGGGGAGCAATGGGCAAGTCAGGAGAGGTCTGTGGCACCATGTGGGTCACCTCCCTGGCCAGGGATCCAACTCTGGCTGCAGAGGCTGCAGATTGCTTCATAGTGCTGCGTCTTAACCCCTTGCGCCACTGGGGAAGTGCCACCAGGTAGGCCCAGCATTGATATTTTAGATATTGCCCTGACTTTAGGAAGAAAGACAGTAGAGGAATTGAATTTGACAAGATATTTGAAGTCAAGAATAACTGAGAATAAATTGTACTAGTTTTAGTAAAATACATGAAGACATGAGAGTAAATGGAAACAATTACATTGAGACAATAGTGGTAAAAAATAAAGAGATAAAAGTACATAGAATAACTGAGATTGTGAATATGTAAATAAGTCATTAATGACTAAACTTGCAAGGTTGGTGATGGGTCAGGGTAAGCTCATTGCTGTGATAACCTCAGTTAATCATGATTGAACACAATAATGATGCATTTTATACCCAATCATATCCTAATTTGAGCTTACAGATAAGTGCCCAGTTCTGAACCATTAAGTAACACAAGCACTTATTCTCCTTCATTGTGAATTCCAAAAACCTTGCAGGATCTTCATAGGTTGAGTCTATTTTCTTTCCAACAGGTAAAGTAAGAAAGAAAAACAGAATGGAATAGTTCACAAGACTTTGGGATCAGAGTCAGAAGAATGTGCATATTACTTTCACTCATATTCCACTAGACAGATCTCAGTCACACGATCCATGTAACCTCCGAGAGTCAAGAAATTTAGCCTAGCAGGATGACACTATGGAACAGAAGAAGATGGATATTGGCAAACAATTGGCTTAGTTTATGCTGTAATGATTAGTGCTATGTACCAAAATAATAATAATAATTTAAAAGCAAGTCTGAGGGAAAGAAAAACAAAACAAAACAAAACAAGTTCCAGGTTGGATATGTTGAATTAGTGTTCTATGGATACTTTATGCTGACTGAAATATTCTGCAGGTAGTATTAAGGTTTAGTTTGAATATTAGGGTGGAGTTACAGATTTAGGAATCATTAGTATAAAGGTGGCAGTATAGACAAAGTAATGATTGAGATAAAGATTGGAAGACCATGGACGAAATGTTTTGGGACAACACATTATAAGGAGTTCTAGAGGAAGAGAGTTAAGGAGGGAGATTGAAAAAGGGCAGTTATATATATGAAAAGCAGACAAGAGTAAGAAGAAAAGGAGTTCAAGACCATCATGTACTGCTGGAGAGAGGCTGAATAGAGGAAAGGTGGAGAATTGAAGATTGGCTAAGACAGAAACATTTGAGAATAAGGGGAACAGGAGAGATAAAGGGATAGGAAAATAGGAAAAGGGTGGAATCAATTAGCAATGAATACAAGCATTGAAAAACTGTTTTTCAATTTAATTGAATTAGGCAGTAGATTGTTCATTCTAGATTGTGAAATGAGCAGCAGACTTGATTTTGGATTATATGGTTTCTAATTTAGGTCTGCCTAACTTTGAAACCTTTGGTCAAATATTTAATCTCACTAAGTTTCCCCCATGTGCATATGTAAAATGAAGTAATTGGATTCAATATTCTCTAAGTTTCTTCTCTCTTTATAATTTTGAATAATTTTAATGATTAAGGCAACACAGTGTAATAATGAATAAATGAGCTATCTTTCAGTTTTGTTCCTACAATTCAGCTTTCATCAAGTTGATAAAACTCTTTAACAATAATTTTCTCATCAATAAAATGGGAATAATAATAGCATCTACAAAACACATAGCACAATACCGTGTGTGTGTGTGTGTGTGTGTGTGTAATTTCCAAATGTGAATGCTAGCAAGGTAATAAGAAAAAAGTTAGGCCATTGGCCTCAGGACCATAAGATTTGCTAGACAGAACTTCATGACTCCAGTTTTTTATAGAGAAAACACTTTGTATACTAGGCAGTTTACAAGCCATAGGTTCTAGCTATTTTTTAAATTTCCTTACCTTATTCAATTCAGAAGTGCCATACTTATCTTTTAAAGACCTGATTTGCTTCCTCTCTGTTTGGACTGTTTTGTGTTTTACTAATCTTTAAACTATCAAAAAAAATACCAATGATTTAGTAATTTTTAGGCATAGGTTAGATCATGGAGGATGTGCCAAAACTTCCCTCTAGCTGCCTTCTCCTCAACCAATTTACAACTAAGCTAGTATCATTTGAGTGATTCCTCTGAATTTTGATTTAAAATCTACTTAGGTCCCCCAAGAAGTGAACTCTAGTGCATGTCCTTTCTTGGTAAAATAAATAACCTAGTTTCTTTTGAATTGTGTTCATTTCTTCTATGGTAGACCTGTTGATAAGAAAAACTACATTGACTCAAATAGAATTATATGTATATTGAAATAGAGCACTTACCTAAAATTGGGCGGCCTAGATTTTAGCCTCGGATCATTTTCTAGCCAATCCTGTGTCGCTGTATCATGTGACTTTGGACAAAGCAGTTCCTCTCTCTGGGCCTCCATTTCACCATCTGAAAAATGAGAGGCTTTTAGTAGATGATGGCTGAGATCCCTCCCTGCTCTCAGATGCCTCAGTCCAATGCCCACCCCTCTACTGGTCCTGCCAACATGTTGGTGCTATAAGCTGCTTCAAATATAAAATTGGTTTGTCTATAGCATATGTTCATTTAATAGTTTATGAAAGACCATTTTGTTATACAGCTTTTCCCCCTAATTTTATGAAGTTGATTACTGTAATGTTTTTTAGCCATGTAACTATAAACATTCTCTTGATGTGTCTCAGTAAATTTGCATTTGATATATAAAAAAAAAGTTAGGCCATTGGGCTTGATATTATAAAGAATTCAGAGAAAATTCTTGATATGAAATTTGGGAAGAAGAATCAGCTCATAGTTGAAGAAACAACTAGCAGTTGCTTGATTCTTCCGGATTATATAAAGAGAAAATGTGACTACCTTAGTAAGTTACAAAACAGGGATGGATATTTACATATCTGCTCAAAAAAACCTACAGACTTATAACCTATCAGACTCTGTTCATGGTTGCAGGAAGCAAAAGATAAAGAGATAAATAGCAAAAAGCTGACTTGCATCTCGTTTATATCCCAGATGGCCTTAAAACACTGGCAAATAATCTCGTTCTCTAAATGATTATGTGAACATCTAAAGGTTAAAGACTAAAATATAGAAGGATATACCAGGATATCCCTTTTTCTGTAACCTGAAGTGAGCACCTTTAAAAAGACCTTCAGTAAGCACTTGAAATCTGTTTTTAAGTGCCCCTGGTAGTTTTTCACACACAAAAAGGCACTCTTGTTTATTTGAGTAGCAGAGCCATTGTCTCTCTTAATTCAAGGAAAAAAAGATCCCTTGAAAAAATATATGCACGAGAAGCAAGATAAATCAACATCCTTACTATGGTAGAATTAGTTGGCTATAGACAGTGTTTTATGGGCTGTTTCACTACCACTTTAATTAACTTCAAACAAGGAATACATTCTAGCTTTGCTCTCTTTTTCAAGTATGTGAAGTTGTATTCCACATGTGTGATTATATCATTGAATTCTACCCTATGGGAAACCAAGCTGACATTGCTATGAATCATCCATTGAGTCTATAAGACATTTGAGTTCTTTAAATTATAGAACTTAAATTATAGAGGACAATGTGCAGAAATCCTTGCCTTCCATGTCCTGATTGGCTGCTATCTTCTTTCTCCAAGTCAATAGTATTAACGAGTTCAATTAGGAGAGTTAACATTGAGTACGGGATGGGACTGAGCAGATGGAAGAGATGTAAATTGGACTATGAACATAGTACTTGCAGGGTAAGGAAAAATGTCAGGCTTTTCTGCCCTCCCGCCATCAGGATAGATGATGGATCCTTGTGGTCCTGAATGCATGCCTGATGGCGGGCACCTGGAATAGGGTGTGGGCATAGGTAGATGAGATTCACCTGGGCCAAGACTGTGCTTTTAAGGGCGGCATCACAGGGAAGCCAGTAGAAGCCGAGAGAGAAGCAAGAGAAGCAGAAGCCGAGAGAAGGCCGGAGAGCCCAGAGTGAAGACCTGCTGGGGGCTGGGAGACCTGCCAGCCTACCGGCCCCCCAGCACCCCTGCATGCTGTGTACCTGGTAATCCCAATAAAAACCTGCAAAAACCACTGAGGACTCTGACTCCTCCTTTACCCGGTCTGCTGGATCATAGAAAACCTGCTCTGTGTCCTTCCTGTCTCTACAGTACTACAGCTCCATTCAATATTTCTAAAACTATTAAAAATTTTTCAGAAGAATTTTAAAAGAATTAGAATTCAGTTGTGACTTAATCTTTTTAGGAGTTCTTTTTTTTCCCTTTTTTTAAAGGTGTATGAGATTTATTTAGTCTTCATTTTTCTTTGTGGTATACATATATTCCTATGCTGCTTGTAGAGTTACTACTTATTAAACACTTGCTATGTGCTAGGCAATATGCTAAGTGTTTTATACATATTATTCTTATAATCGCAATCACTCTAAAATTCAATTGGCATTATCACCACTAAATAGGTATAGAAGAGAGGCTAGTATGTAGGAGAACTGGTATTTGAAGACAAACTCATGTCCCAAGATAACACACAAGTCCACACATTCTACAAGTGAACAAGATTAGAATATTTTTAAAAAAGGGGGGGAAAGAGGAATAATTTCAGGGGGACTAAGACAGAATGGGTTAAATCTTATGTTAATTAGTTGAGGTTGTCTTTGGGAATTTCTATAGAATCTATACAGAACTGTGCTTTCTAGGCAACTTGGTTGATGGATAAGAGGTAGGGCTATGACTTGGGCCAAGTTTTGAACTAGAGGCAATTCTTACTTCTCAGCTGTGGCATGGACCAGATGACCTCAGGAGATCTCCTTTATTTCCTGCTCAGTCTGTGGTCTCCCTGTGAAAAGGAGAGAGTGATATTGTAGGGGCCGGACTGGGCACAGGTGCAGGTTTTCTGATCCCATGCAGACCGGGTAAAGGAGGAGTCAGAGTCCTCAGTAGTTTTGCAGGTTTTTTATTTGGGGTTCACCAGGCATATGGCAGGCAGGGGTGCTGGCTGGGGGGCTGGGAGGCTGGCAGGCCTCCCAGCCCCCAGCAAGTCCTCACTCTATCTGGGCTCTCTAGCGTTCGTTCTGCTGCTTCTCGGCTTCGGCTTCGGCTGCGGCTGCTGCTGCTGCTGGTGCTGGTGCTGCTGGCGTCCCCCCGTGACGCCGCCCTTAAAAGCACAGTCTTAGCTCAGCTGAATCCCATCTACCTATGCCCACACCCTATTCCAGGTGCCCACCATCAGGCATGCATTCAGGACAAGGATCCATCATCTATCCTGATGGCGGAAGGGCAGAAAAGCCTGATATTTTCTTTACCCTACAGTCCACCCCCTCAGGGTTTTCTGCCATACAGTCTATACATATATACACAATTTTCTAAGCAAACAAACAATGCAGCCATGGCCCACAAAAGCAAATACATCAAATAACAAAATACAACATAACAAAATACAACAGAACACAAATAAGTCCAGGCAGGGCACCAACCAAGTGCAAAAGACAATTATTGGTACCAGCAGATGAGCCACCAAATCTGCTGCCGAAGGCACTGCTCATACGAGGGAGGGGAAATCACACACGGCATCTGCTATAACACACCAGGAGCCGTCAGGCTTCCTGGCCTTCTCTGGCTGTAGTCTCGGCTACAAGGCACACACAGCATCCACCCCCAGGATGCACTAGCTCTGGGATTGGCAATTTTATTCTGTTGGGGGTAATCGCCAACCCTCAGGGTTTCTGTCTGCAGTCGCTCCAACACTCGGCCTTCATGGCCACCCATGCGACTCACAGACCCCTGCTCTCAAGCCAACCCACTGCACAAGCACATGGGTTGGGGATCCAAACTTTGCATTTGGCTTGGCTCCACCCCAAGCCACATTCCCCACCCGTCCCCCAAGGACGGGCTCCTCAGCTCCTCACCCTCACTCAAGAATGAGCAGGGCATCACCCATAGGTGATTTTACGAGACTCACAGGGCTTCAGCATACCCAGGCTGCTTAACAGCCGCTTTAGGGCTTCTCAACTTAGCATCAGTACCAGCTTTTGCCACCTTAGTTGGCTTTTCTCCTCCACCTGGCCACTGGGCATACACAGGCTGCTTTTGGCCATCTAGGCCCACTGGCCACCCCCAGATTCTCAAAAAATAAACATAACCTGCTAAGGTCCTCCGCCTTCTGGCGGGATTGTCAGTCCAAAATCATCAGTTAATCAGTCTATCAGTCCATTGGCCTCTCCCTGCTTCAGCAATGGCCTGCTGCCTCAGGGGTCATTGGCTGGTCCTTTCCGGTGTCGTTGGCTGGTCCTATCCGGTGTCGTTGGCTGGTCCTTTCCGGTGTCTTTGGCTGGTCCTTTCGGGCGTCTCCTTCACGCCAGGTCTCATCCTGTAGCTCGTGGACGTATCCATCTTCTATACCGCCATGGTGCCTCCAGCGTCGTCACAGGCAAAGTCTGTTCTCCTTAGTCCCTCCAGGTCTTCGGAGGGCTCCAATACCCGTCTGCATGGATCTTGCCGACATACGCCAATTGTAATGGCAGGACTGGGCACAGGTGCAGGTTTTCTGATCCCATGCAGACCGGGTAAAGGAGGAGTCAGAGTCCTCAGTAGTTTTGCAGGTTTTTTATTTGGGGTTCACCAGGCATATGGCAGGCAGGGGTGCTGGCTGGGGGGCTGGGAGGCTGGCAGGCCTCCCAGCCCCCAGCAAGTCCTCACTCTATCTGGGCTCTCTAGCGTTCGTTCTGCTGCTTCTCGGCTTCGGCTTCGGCTGCGGCTGCTGCTGCTGCTGGTGCTGGTGCTGCTGGCGTCCCCCCGTGACGCCGCCCTTAAAAGCACAGTCTTAGCTCAGCTGAATCCCATCTACCTATGCCCACACCCTATTCCAGGTGCCCACCATCAGGCATGCATTCAGGACAAGGATCCATCATCTATCCTGATGGCGGAAGGGCAGAAAAGCCTGATATTTTCTTTACCCTACAGTGATATTGTGGGTTAGATTTGCCTGCAGCTGAAAATTTACCTGGGAAGGAGCTTTCTTTCCAGTACTTAGAAAAGCCAGCTTTTCCTAACTCTGGAAAATTGTGTCACTAGCATAATGCATGAGAGCCTCAGAAATGGTAATGGCTTGCCAATTCCCTGCTGTAAAATCAAAGTCCCTTCACCCTTCCTACTGTCAAGAAAGCTGTTATTAATTCTCATTGTGAATTTCTAAGGTGAAACACAGATGTATACAGCTCAACATTTTTGTGGCTTCAGTAAAGGTCAGTAATTGTCCCATCTGGCAAGGATCACTCACAAAAATAAATTGTTTTGGCTCTTTGTTATTTTCAATGGTTGTTTGTGAGCATAAATTCATCACTGCTCCTTCATTCTCCATGGATACAGGAGACAAACAATTGTCACATGGCCAGGTTACTGTCTCTGGAGATGTTCTCCCCTCTTTAGAGATCCAGCATCTTGGATCTGTAAATATCTTTGTAAATGCCTCTGTAGGCCTGTATATATTATTCTGAATTTGTCACACACAGGAAGGAGAAATGGCAGCTTATTCAGCCCTTATCCTTTCTGACCTTTCGCTGTCATTTCAATGAGTCACCTTCTTCACTCTGGTGAATAGAGAAAGAACTACTAATTGAAATCTGAAGATGGGGTTGGAATTCCAGCTCACCTACAAATTGTTTAGTCTCTGGAGATCATGTGATCCTTGAGCCTTCATTCCCTTGGCTATGAAATCAACATTATAATGCTCATTTTATAGTTTTATTGAGAGGATAAAAGTGAGGTGATGTAAGGAAAGATAATCAGTAGAATACATGAAGCTCTAGTATGGTATTAACAGCATTGTCTTCAGTAGGTGTTGTCAGTACCGCTTTTCTTTGGCTGTGACTGGTTTACCTGGACAGAGATTAGTAGCAGGTCATGGGCCAGAAACTAGGGAGGGGAGAGTCAAGGCTGATCTGCTCATTGCTGCTAAAAACAAACCAGGGCTCAAAACAAGTATTTCCTCAGCTTTTCTATCCTGATGGTCAACCCTTGGTAGTATTGGACATTAATCCCTTTTCCTTCTAAACTTCTAAAGCTGAAATGTTTCGCAACTTATAACTTCTAATGTTCCTTTAAGGTTGTTTATTTAAATATTTTATTTTATTAAAGTACATCAGACTGTAACATATAAGGTTCAGGTGTGCATCATTATACATCAAAATCTATATATACAAAGTTAAATTCACCACCAAAAGTATAGTTTCCATCTTTCATACTTTCTTAAAAAAAAAATTATTTATGCATACAAGAGCTAGGGTGTAAGCCAGAGGTGCTGGGGGTAAGAGGATTCACCAGAGAGAATGGGGAACAGAACAGGCAGACAGACTGAAATACACTGCTAACAGGGAGCAGCGGGTGAGTCAGGAGAGATCTGCTGCGCCATGGGGGTTGCTCCCTGGCCAGGAATTGAACTTGTGCTGCAGTGGCTGCAGATAGCTTTATAAGTTGCATCTTAACCCCTCGTACTACCAGGGAGGCCCCATACTTGACACCTTTTTAATCCAATTTACCCACCACTCTTCCCAAAATCCCTGTTTTGTTCTTAGAGTCTAAGGGTGTGTTTTCTATTTTGTTTTGTCATTAGCTTTGTTTCTCTATATATTACATTGAATGAAATCATGTCTTTCTTTCTCCATCTAACTTATGCATAATAGACTCAAGGTTCATCCATGTTGCTGCACATGGCAGATTTCACCCTTTTGGACAGTTGAATAGCATTCCATTATTCATTTATAGGTCATCTTTAGCCACTCATCTGTCCATGGGCATTTAGGTTGTTTCCATACCTTGGGCATTGTGAATTATGCTGCAATGAACAGGGGAACGCTTATATATTTCTCAACTAAGTTTCTGTTCTTAAGTATCTTTTGGGTTTATTTAAAGCAGAACTAGTGAAAACATTAGGGAAGAACAAAAATTAAATTTTTCTTCTGATGTCATACTTCCTAAGGTAAATTTGGACCCTATGTCAATTTGAGAGATTCTCAGGTATAAGACAGATCAAAGATTATGATTTTCCCATTTCTCCCTTCTTTTATTTCTTTCTCTTTTTATTCTCTTATAAGTTAAGGATATAAGGCACAATTAATTGGAGGAATCCTGTAAATTCTATGTGGATGTAACTGAAGAGATTCTCATTGTAAATCACTCAAAGTTTGGCATACTGCTAGGATGTAACTTTCTATATTACCATTTTATAAAAATGAACAATGATGTAAGAAATTAAAAAATATATTTATTGACATTTTACTTGGCCAAGCCAAGATTTAGTAAGAAATTGAATTATACATATAGGTACAGATCTTGGTTTATGAGTAGCTTATTTTTCAGTGGATTGCTGATATTTCGCTGAAAGGGAGTCAGATATGCTCCCTTAAAACAGGACTGAAATTAATGTCAGAAAATGATTTATATTTACCAACTCAAAGAAGAATGCAGATTATGTATATTCGAATTCATTGTACCAAAGCACTTATCTGGTATGTGAAACTCATATATATATATATTTTTTTTTTAATTTAAAAGATTGTTCCTTCTTCTGCTTTGAAAAAAAGGCTTTTACAAAATAGCCAAACTAACAAAATCCCCACACACATCCCGATTAGTCCACAAGCAGCGGAGAAAGTTTTCTTCTGTCAGTTAGACCATAGAGAACACCTGCTTGATTAGCTGAAGTTAACGCCAAAATAGCTTTGGTTTGATCAATGATGTAATCAATCATGAAAGTTATAATTTTAGCAAGGTTTGGACTGTTCTATTAAATAAAGATGGAACGTGTCTGAAGTTCCAGATTTTCTGAAAATAAACATATTT